GCCGATGTCAAAAATGTAAGTTCTCCAAAGTAAAAACCAAGTATTGAAAATGTTTGTTTAATGCATTTTGCTAAGAAATCAAATAAAAGGTTTTGAAAACCACGTCATTTAGTTGAAAACCACGGCTAGCCAAGTTTACGCCGTTTCGCATGGTTTTCACTAAACGACCAAAAACGAAAGGTGGTTTTTGAAGCGTTTTTGTTGGAGAACTATTTAAATGTGCCCAGAAGTAAAAACCAGTAATAAAAGGTTGAAAACCACTTGATTGGTTCGGACGCCAAAAAACCAATGCCGAAAACCGAAAGCCGAACGCCGGTTTCTGAAAGCCGAACGTCGGATGGCTTGGTTTTTGGCTTGGGCGAACTCCAAGTGTTTTGAGCCAAGTTTAAAACTTAAGAAAAATATTTTTGAAAATGTAAAAGAGATTTTTATGAATTGAGCCTAGAGAGCCAAGATTTGGAATTTTGTGCCGGTCTTGATCACATTAAGACCGACTGAATACAATTCTAGTTTTTCGTTCTTGATTCTGGGTTCTTGGTTCTCAAGTCATCATGCCATGTTCCTTCGCCTTAGTTTTGCTCACTTTAGCTTCGATATGTAGCGGCGGTTTGGCATTATCAAAACCTGTCATAAAGACGAACACAGTTTAGCACGACGGAGGCGTAAACCCGTGTTCCAACAAACGGGTGCTCCCCAAGGGGAAACACTCGGACGTATGAATCCTTTATCGAGCAGTTTTTGTAGTTGAGCCTTCAACTCTTTCATTTCAGCAGGGGCCATGCGATAGGGAGTTGCAGATATCGGTCCTGTTCCAGGAACAAGATCGATGGAAAATTCTACTTCTCTGGAGGATGGTATACCAGGGAGTTCGTCAGGAAATACGTCAGAAAAACCACCTACTGTCGGTATGTCTTTCAACTCAGGAGTTTCCTTTCGTGTGTCACGTACATTACACAGGTAAGCTTCACATTTCTTTCGAATGAGACGTCTAGCGTGTATGTACGAGATGAATTCAGTGGATTTAGGTGTTAGATTCTCTTTCACCTTTATAGACTTTCCCTCTCCAGACTTTAGTTGAATCGTTCGTTGTCGGCAATCGATAACTGCTTGGTGCTTGTTAAGCCAATCCATTCCGAGGATGATGTCAAATTCTTTGTACAGTAATTCGACAAGATTGGCAGAGAATTGATGTCCTTCAACAATCAATGGACAGTTTTGATATATATGATTTAACCTCATACTACGACCTAACGGATTAGAGAGACCAAGTGTGTTTATGAACTTTTGAAAATTGCTCGAACAGAACAATAGTCTCCTAGAAGTTCAAGAGTTAAGTTTTCAAGAATAGGAAAATCTTGCCCAAATCCATTGTATGGGCAGTTTCCATAAAGTAAAGCACAACCAATCTAATAGTTGTTCTATATCCATACTTGAAAAATGAAAACATATTATAGAATGAATATCCTAAACTAGATGGCATGCAGGTATGATTGCAGAATAACGTATCAAAATTTGAAAACAATAATAGAAGTTTCAAACATACAAATTCATTGACAATAACATCAGGTGTGGCTTCCCCACTAACATCTACTTGGTAGCTATCTTCTAATGGTTCAACGTTAGCCTGCATTATGTAACAAACAAATCCTTGAAGCCATGAGAAGCTTTCAAAGAAAAAAGATGAAATATATTCAACCATTAGAATATTTTTGTTTTTTGGGAAAGAATTGATAGTGCTAATAGAAGTGATTGTCCGTGTCAGGTGTTGGAACACGGGTTTACGCCTATGTCGTACTAAGCCGTGTTCGTTTTATGAGAGGTTTTGATAATGCCAAACCGCCGTGACAATAACAAAGTTAACTGAGCAAAACCAAGGCGAAGGAACATGGCATGATGAACTGAGAACCAAGAATCAAGAACGAAGACTTAGAATTATATTGAGTCGGTTTTAATGTGATCAAGACCGGCACAAACTTTCAAAACATGGCTCTCTAGGCTCATTTCATCAAAATACTTTTTGCATATTCAAAATGATTTTCTTAAGTATTAAACCTGCCTAAAAACACTTGGAGTTCGCCCAAACCAAAAACCAAGCCATCCGGCGTTCGGTCTTTGGAAACCGGCGTTCGGCTTTTGGTTATCAGCGTTGGTTTTTGGCGTCCGAACCAACCAAGTGGTTTTCAACTTTTAATGATTGGTTTTTACTTCTGGGCATGTTTAAATAGTTCTCCAACAAAAACGCTTCAAAAACCACCTTCTGTTTTTGGTCGTTTAGTGAAAACAATGCGAAACAGCGCAAACTTGGTTAGCCGTGGTTTTCATTTAAATGACATGGTTTTTAAAATGTTTTACTTTATTTCTTAGCAAAATGCATTAAACAAACATTTTCAATACTTGGTTTTCATTTTGGAGAATTTACATTTTTGACATCGGCTAACGGCTGACTAAACCAACCATGGGTCTGGCTAAACTAGCCCAACAGCGATGTTGGTGAAACCAACAGCGCTGTCTGGCTTGGGTGGCTGAAAACCATGGTTTGGCGTTAAGTCTTCCAACAGCGATGTTGGATGTTAGACATCGCTGTTGAGCCAAGGTTGGGTTTCTAGAAACATCTGGAACAGCGATGTAGACTACCCTACATCGCTGTCCAACCTAAGCCAAAAAGAAATGCCTCTGGCAGAAAGTTTTTGAACAGCGATGTTGACCCAGCAACAGCGCTGTCAGGCCAAACTTTCCACCTTCAAAGTCAGACCTAAACAGCGATGTTCAAGTAATGAACATCGATGTAGGTACCTGACCGTTGGAAGGAATTTAAGGCTAAAACTTTCCTTGTTTGGAAGTCAACAGCC